ATAACGTGGTCACTGACCGGCACAGAATTGACCTCCGCGATTGGTTCTTTCACAAAGTTTTCCTGGCCAGGGACACTGTCCATTTCCGATTCGGTGGGGTTTGTGACTGGTACCGTCCTTGATTGTTGTACTTCGCGAGGTGTCTCCTCAGGCTGGTGCCTCCGTGACCTGCCGTTTCGGTCGTCTCGGGTGCGATCACGGCTCTCTTTTCGATCAGACCTGCTCTTTCCTTGTCGGGAGCTACTCGTTTTCTCTGTGGATGTTCCATTTGGACTGCGGCGACTGTGGTGGGTGGAAGAGGTCCTCGGGGGAGGAATCGGTGGCGTACCTAACATGTCGGGATAGGCTGTGCGCCCATTCTTCTGGGCGGGAGATGATGTGCTGGTCGATACTGCTGGGGCATGAGCGGGGAGTGGCACGACCTGCTGATGAGAAGTGCTCATAGCCGGAAAAAGCTGTTCGGGACCGGCCTCAGAAACGGCTTTTGGAAATTAGCAAGCTATTCACCAAATAGAATGGTTGGGCAGACGGGTACGCGCTGGGAGGCATCTGCATCCCGGCAGATAGCATACCTTCGTCTAGTAAATGCGCAAAGCCTTAATAGACTTGCTGTGTGACTGTCCGAAGCAGATTATGGTATCAATTGCGATTGGTACAATTGGCGCGAGGGAGTACAATGGGGGTGTTGGAGGTGTTTGGGCAAAAAGTCGGGGGCGACCGGTCGCACTCGCCAGATGACGATTCAAAGCGCAATCTATAGACATTGACATGTCCGTTAGTTTGACATATTTCCCCAGATTCTTATCGATAATCGCCAAAAATGTGCCAATTTACCCAAGAATGGGGGGGGCAACTGACAGATCGATCGGAGGAATGGGGGGAACTATCTTACGACCAATCGCGCAAAAACCGTTAGATGGAGGTTGAATCTCACCGAGGACACCAGGTCGCAACCTTTTTCAAGTGTAAAGACGCGTCGAAAAACAACAAGTTTCTCGAAAAACGAAAGGAAAGCTCAAGCTACCTGCGCTGTACTCCCAAGAGTTCCCCCTCTGTCCAGACCCACGATTCGGGGTTTGGGGTCGCACGCTGTCCAAGAAATCAAGCAAACGCGCTAGCAAATATCTCAGACGCGATTGCGAACCTGATCAACAGAACTCTGGTTCAATTGCGACAACAGTTGAACATTGTCGAAGATAGGGTGAGGGGCGGACAGGGGGCGCAAGAGGGAAAAAGACGGGAAGCACCGGTCGGGGATTCTCGAAAAAGGGGGAGGGAAAGAAAGTAACCCCCGAACAGAATCAAAGAAAACCAAAAGAAAAAAAAGAAAAGCCCAAAGGGTAAGAGAGCAAAGGATGAGAAAGTGAAGAAGGAAAAGAGGAGGTGAGATACGAGTGTTAGTCTGGGGGAGGCGGGTCTTTGGTTTGGCTGATATGACCGCTTGGATACATGGAAATTCTATTTAATTACATATAACTACTTTGATATATTTTATTTTATAAATACGTATATGTCTATATGTTAAATGTTAAATCTTTAGAACTTATATAACTAGAGACTCCCATGAGGTATGATACATCTAGGATGGTGACGACAAAGACAAAAGTAGTGTGTCCGTATTTGAGAGTGGATTCAATATTAAATGGGCCATATATCGTGAATCCCTTGCGCCAGTGCTAAAAAGGGTTCGACTCCCGGTACTAAAGAAGGGAGATGGATTTGACCGAAATAATAATAGCCCTGAAGGCGCCTAAACTGCCAGCGGTTTCAAGAAAAGGAAAGAAAAAGTAAAATAGGGGGGGTTCGAATGCTAGAGTGGACACCTTGGGACGATCGTCATTATCAACCTCTCCTAAAACAGAAGTTCAGATCTGGATTTTTTTTTTCTTTAACTACATATGTTGTATGTTGTAGATTATTTATGGGATATCAGATCAACTTGATTTGAAATTTCTATAGGATATGGAGTTTGTGGAATTCAATTGCCCAAGAATGGCGTGCAGTAGGTTCAGCTCCCTAGCTTAGTTTTGACAATTAGCGCTTATTGTTTTTTTTTTCGAGCTTTAACTCTTTGAAGCTAGGTATAGTTATAGTTACATTTATTAGTTGAAAGTGAAGATATTCAATATATTGTAGTACTCCATACTCGGGGGGCTAGAACCAAATCTGAAAGAACTTACCCGAACCCTGGAACCACAGCCCCCAACCCACGGTAGAAAGAACTAGAACCATGGTTGGATCCCGATCTAAGCAAATCTTGTTGGAGAATTTTAACTGCTCTGATATATGTACGAGTAATGCGCTTCTTGAATAGTCTGATAAACCTTACTCCATGTATATGTACTATATTCAAACCCTTTTTCTTCTTTGACCCGTATTTTCACAGATAATCAACTTCTTTGAGATTTCATTGATAAATCTCATTGGGTAAGGGCCCGTGGGCCGTCGACAACTGTCAAAGCGATGCGTTGGCAGTTTTGCCTCCACGGTTGTATATGTTGTACTATCATCCAATCGATATCGGATAGATCAGCGTTAACGCATATGAGCAAACCCGTTCAATGGCTATCGCTTACTCCCAACCACCCTCACCTCCTCAATTTTTGCCTGCTGACTCTTCGGCGATTTGATTATTTGTACGGAGTACGGGGTACACCGAGTAAAGACGATCTACCATACTCCCCCTATTTTGGCGTACCCTAGCCAAAACCCAAATTCAGTTCGAAAAGCTTCCTGAAGAGTCCCAAGCTCAAGGTGCCGGCAGATTTCTGCATACATAGTAGGATGGGGAACTTTATTGAGAAGCGAACTCACTATCTACAGATCGAAAATGGTAATATAAACAAACCTCAATCAAGCTTGTTAAAATTTAAATCATGTCGCCCTACCAGAGTCATCCAAAACGAAACCCAAATATCTCCGTATACGAGATCTTGTTCCCCCAAAGCGTTGGAATTGCCATGTGCGCCAGCCCCCATATTTTTAGCGCTTACCCCCTGACCTGGGCGTCCCGTCGAGGGACATTGTCCCTGACGCACCATATGCAGGAGGCGGTGTGGGGTTAGGCGACGCGCGCCGCACAACGGGATCCCTGGCGCTCAAGCCAGAAGGATGCGAAGCAGCCTGCACAGCTGAAGCTGAAACATGGCCGCCATCACCACCACCAACGACAACCTGTTGGCCGTCGCGCATTTTTCCAACAACCATGCCCTTGGCAACCGATTTCAAAAGCGCACGGCGACTGACACCAGTGGCGTCGATGTAAACCAATCCAACGTTCTTAATCCCGCCCGTCAGATTAGTTGCGACCGAGCCTGCCTCGCTCCCGTAGCGATGATCAATCATAGAGCTGGCGGCGGTGGCTCCAGAGAAGAGCATATTCCGGGCGCCCTGCTCGATGCCATCGGCCAAGGTTGAGAATGCGATCATCGATTTGTTAAGCACACCAGGCTTGTATTCGGCTGGTGGGTTGCGCTTGTCGAAGCCTTTCCGACCAGATTCTTGCTTGCGCACCAATGACGCACCTAGGTTCTGTGCAACCTTGCCGACCTGTCCGACTGTGCGAGCAGAAATATCCGCCGCTCCGTTAGAGAAAGTGCCGACCTTGCGGATGCGTGCATGAGTAGCTTCCGAGAATTTCAGAGGCTTAACATTCGGTTGCGTCCTCTTTTGGAAATTCTCCGCCCCACTCGCGATAGCACTCGCCAGATATGTTGATCCAGTCACGATCAGCCGAGATGCTGTAGCGGAACTCTGAACGAGTGTCGAGTTCTTATACGCTGGGTGCCGGGCCATCGCCAGGTATTCTTCGGACACATTGCTAACGCTGACTTGGTTGCCTCCGCCTTCCGCAGGGAGTTCAATCCCTACCGGTCCTGTTTGCGGCATTCGTTAGTTGCTGACTTCGAAGGTGCCCGTAATTCAATGCACTTACTCTTAGAGCCAGGCTTCACGTCGGCATCTTCGACTACATTGTAGCCATCCCCTAGCTCTCCGACCACACTGCCGTTTTCTTCATCCACGAGTACAATTCTTCCATGGGTATCTGCTTTCTTTGTATCTGGGGTCCCAACATAACCCTCGCCGGGTGCGTAGTCAGCCGGGTTATAAGCAGTATGATCCCCGACCTTCGGGTGCGGAGTGCGCTCGAGGAACGCAGTGCATTGCGCAAGGATGGATTCAAAGGTATCAATGTCATCCTGGGACACGTTGCTGGGGCCTGTGCCGATGCTAGGGAACTGGATACGAATGAAAGCGCCAGCATCGGGACCCATGTCCCAGCGGGGAATCAGATAACTGTCTGGGGGCTGATGAAAGATTTGTGTGGTCGCTGGGATCGCAATATCGAGCTCAGGTGGGAGGTATAGGTGAAGGTAGAAATCCTCTTCCGGTGAATCTTCAGGCCAATCTGTCCCAGGGCCAGCATTGGCGGTATTGGTTGGGACCATTAGCAGCGATAGGGTTTGAGGGCCGGACGGTGTGAGTTCTTGCTCCTCGCCATTTTGGATATGGAAAGCACGGATATTATTGACGCTGTATAGCAGTCGGGGATCGTGTGCTGCGCTCGCCATTATGTTGGTTGCTATCACAAAATGGGGACTGCCCGCAATTTAAAGTGCTGATAACACGGTTATGACGTCGTCCACAGGTGTAACAATGTCTGGTACTAAGCAGATAGAAATAATACCTGGTTCGTGAAGACCTCTTAAGGACAACAGAAAATGAGAATCGTTGAAATAGGAGTCAAATCGATTTTCAGACCCCAGCCAAGGAGGGGCTTCTTATGAGATCATGCCCGAGCGCTTAGATAACTAAGGGATGACCCGTCCACTGGACTAAAGGAGGCTGTGTTACGCCACACTATATTGGCACCGCCACACGTTACCTAGCCACATTTGGCGGGGCTTTCCAATGTTGAAATTGTATTTGATTGGTCAATATTCCCCAGATATTGAGGTCCGTCCGAAAGCAAAACTTGCCTCATTCGTTATGCGGTCCAGATGTCCACATTCCAGATATTATCAGATTTGCATCTTGAAACTCCCTCTGCATATGATGTGTTCAAAATCTCTCCGAAAGCACCATATCTTGCCCTCCTAGGTGACATAGGAGTTGTCAAGGACGCAGACTTCATTACATTCATCGAAACCCAGTTGCGCCAATTCCAAATTGTTTTCTTCCTACTAGGGAATCATGAACCCTACTATTCAACCTGGGAGGACACAAAACAAGCCCTTCATCAATACTCGGCGTCTGTCGATCGTCGGCGTTTAGCTATGGAACATAATGGACGTCCGGAAACTCTGGGTTCTTTCATTTTCTTAGATCAGACACGCTACGATCTCTCGTCAGATGTGACTGTGCTGGGCTGTACACTCTTCTCGCGAGTGAGCGAGGCCCATAAAGAGCACATTAGCTATGGTCTCAACGATTTTTATAACATAAAGCAATGGGCCGTTGACGATCACACAGCTGCTCACGAAGCAGATTTGGAGTGGTTGAATGGACAAGTTTCTCATATCGCTTCCTCTGAGCCTCATCGTAAGATCGTGGTTTTTACGCATCACAGTCCAGTCACTCAGGATCAACGGGCAGTTGATCCAAAGCACGCAAATAGCTCGCTATCGTCGGCCTTTGCCAGCGACCTGTCAGGGCAGGAGGTTTGGGAGAGTCCGCTGGTACGATTATGGGCATTTGGGCATACACATTTCAATGTTAGTTACATTGAGGATGGTACCGAGAAGCTGGTTGTCAGTAATCAGCGCGGCTATTACTTTTCTCAGGCACGGGGATTTGATGGGGAATTTGTAGTTGGAGTCTGATACAATACATTCACATCTAATTCCGATGACACCATGTAATGATCCGGGTACGATACCGCCAGTTTAATGGCAATAGTTCGCTTCCTTCCCATGCTATACATTGGGAAGTTGGTTTGCGCCTTTTACACCATTCCCGCTCTTATGCTCTTACAGGGAAGATAATATCCAAGTCGTGCGACTATCAATCTGTGATCATGCAATAACATTTTTTCTAAACACATCTCGCAACGTTTGTGACATATCTTAGCCTATCTTTATCCCAGTACTGTCTACTATCTACTAAATATATGTAAATATATATATTACAATATACCATATGCATTACCGATCCAAAAGAGTATGACAGATTTGTACTCACAACCCGAGCAATTCCAACTAGACCTTGGGCGATTACATTGTTTGGTCCGTCCTTTTTACACTACTCGGTGGTCACAGTGTTGTCCAATTGTATGGTGAACTACTAGTAATTCATATGTTCATTCTGCATCCGTTGAATCTATACCACTAGTTATATACCTCAGAGTTAGTGAGAGTGGAGAAAATTAAGAAGCAAAAAGTCGAAAAAAATGGATTTGCAGCGGTTTGAGCCAGATTTCTGCATGGACTATTGTTCCAACAGTCAATTTCTACTACATCACCACAAGAATACACCTGTGTATACCACCCCGACAGAACTAACGATATGCGGAAGGGATGTCAGGGCCGGGTAGTACAACCTTGGAACCTTGGAACCTTCCAAGGTTGGCCTCCACAGGTCATCCATGGGTAAGTGGAATTTCCACCTTAATCTCATCTTTGCCTTTTATCTAATTTATATTCATGGATGCTTAAGCATTTGCACTTATTAAAATCGAATAGATAATTAATTAAGATATTTACCATACAAGACAACAAACCTAGTCAACATTGACATTTTATATTTCGGCATAATGACCTCGCACAAACTCCAACCTCCAATTCTCTATGGTATATACCTTCACATTGATTGTTCCTATGTTCCACTTGGGCGCGTAACTCAGTTGGTAGAGTGTTCGCTTTGCATGCGAAAAGTCCAGCGTTCGAATCGCTGCCCGTCCATCTATTTTTGCCTTTTGTTTTGTGGATACAGGGCTTCGATTTTCTCTGGGGCCATAGCCGTCTAAACTTTTTGGTCTTGCATGGTTTCCGAAAGGAAAACTAGCTCGCCAATGAACCAATGAAATAGACGAGTTATTCTTCAAAACCGAGGTTTTTGTAATGTTGAGGTGCCCGTACTGGATTAAATGAAGCACCAGTACGGAGCATGTATACGAAAGCAGTATTCGATCATAAAAACCATGTAGGTTCCCCTGAGTGTCTATTTGTACTGCTAGTAATGTAACTAACATACACTTACAATGTAGATAATCTCGATTATCTCTACAAGTTCACTTCTGACGAGCCCAACATCTTCCAAGTCTCCGGGATGGGACCCACTCAACGATAATTCTTAACAATAAATTTTGGAATCAAGCATACCGATACAAAGGCACAAATAATTCAATCGTTAATCTAGAGCTTATATGAAAATCTGGTGTTGATATTGATAAGTCCAATGAGTAATCAGATACATAGTGAGTTGAATCCTATATCGGCCCTGTGGATTCTCATAACGTGCGGTACTTGGAGCTTTCAATTAGCAGCATCATATCGATTATCTGCGGTGGATTGCAATCTATGCGCAGCATGGTCAGGCCCAAGTTAGCGCCACACTTGTTCCGCAAAAATGACGAAGAGCCTTTCTGAATAAGTTAAGTCTCAGTTTTAGTTTCTTCGCTTTTATAAATCCCATCATGGGCATAGATATAAGCATCATTAAATGCTCGGACCAGAATTCGTACACTAAGGTGAGCAGGATCAGGGGCATCATCATGAACCTGCTCCTGTGGGCGAAGGCGGGTATCATCGAACACGAACGGAGCGGTCATAGTGGATGTGCAGGCGGCACTCCGGCGTACGGGAGTCTGATACCCAACAAGACCAACATGGGGATACACCTCTACCAAGGTTCCGAATCATGTAGGAGTAAGTAGGCCATCAACGCTAACACGATCATAGTAGAGACGGTCTGTAACGCAAAGGTGTGATAAGCAAACTCGTGGAGATGTGTGCCTACTCGAACACCTTTGAAGAAACAAATTAGATGATGCCAGCATGAATATCAGGGAATAAGGCGTTGATTTCGATCAGGTTCCGGAGGGACAATGCGCCCATGTTCGGGCTGATGAGGTGGTACATGGTCATATAAGTGAGGTTGTATAGGTGGTGCTGTCTTTTTTTTTTCTGCCTATAAGTTCTCCATACGATACATTCCTTTGAAATTTAGAGCCACACCATTTCTGACGAAGATCACTATTGCAGTTGTGACTTCGACGGCGTGGTTTCAACGGTGGCTTGAATATACAACATAATCGTGTGGCGATAAATTGGTGGGGTTTGCGGGATTTGGGTTTGCGCTTGCCTGTTATAGGAAAAGGTCCCGCAAGTACACTGAGCCAATTGTATTGAACTCAAACAGTGCAAACATATCGCCTAGATGCGAAATTTTGACCGAACATCTTCACCAATAGCGATTGCGAAATTTAGTGAATAGCTCGCTCCCAACCCTGGAATACGATGGAGCCAGAAACTACGAAAGCCCAAGTCCCGGAGGTCAGTGTCGCTGCGCCCGACATGGAGGTTCCGAAGCGCGACGCCGCAACCGATTCTGGTGCCGCGGGCGCGGACGAGCCTCCATCCAAGAAGGCACGGTTGGATGAACCCTCCAAACCGGCTCGTGTGGATATGCGCGATAGGGGAATGGCACCCATCAAGGCAGAGTACGTCCGGCTGCCTCTCAATGATCGCAAAATACTAACTTTCGCCACGCAGGTACCGCATCGAAATCGCACCAAAGCCTCGCCCCGCAGACGAGACTAGTCCCGACGATGCCGCCGAGGCCGCTCCCCGTGATGACCGTGATGGTGGCAAGAAGGACAAGAAGAAGAAGAAGAAGGGTCAGAACACCAATCGCAGTTATGGTACATCTAAAGACGCAAAGGGCCTTTGCAGCACTAGAATGTTTGCAAACGAGTTTTCCGCTGAAGAGTGCGAATATGGCGAGAAGTGTCGTTTTGAGCACGATTTGCGTGCTTACCTGAAAGAGCATAAGCGCGAGGATCTTACCACCATCAAGATGTGCCCCGCCTACGAAACCCTAGGTAAATGTTATTCCGGCTGGAAATGTCGCATGGTTGGTTCGCACTCAACTGAGAGAGAAACTGAAGACGGCAAGAAGGAATTGATCTTGCTGGAGGACGCAGAACGTATGGAGAAAGCTCGGCCTCGTGTGGCCAATGCAACTGCCGACGGAATTGTCAACATCATTTCCAACCAAGATAAAATCAGTCTTATGAGAAGGCGTGAGGACACCCCTCGGGCTGATGCCTACACCAAATGGTCTACCCAAGTGTCCGCAGAATTGGAGAAGGCCATCCATCAGCGATCCACCATCCGCGAGAAGGGTGAGCTCGTTGAACCGGACGAACAAGCAAAAATCGACATCCAGGAGAACCGTGCTCAGTTCCTTGAGCCTCCCTTCATGCCATCAGAGAAGCGTCGAATTTACTTTGGTCCAGAGACACCTGTTTTGGCACCTCTCACGACCCAAGGCAACATGCCATTCCGAAGACTCTGTGGCGATCTAGGCGCGCAATTCACATACTCTGAGATGGCTATGAGTATGCCTTTGATTCAAGGCTCAAAGTCTGAATGGACCCTGTTGAAGGCGCATGAGTCGGAAATGGCACCGCCAACCGTTATCCCGGGCGACAATATTGTTCAGGGCTATGATAACTCCAAGGATTCCAGGTTCGGCGCCCAGATTGCTGCTAACAAGCCTTGGCAAGCTTACAAGGCCACTGAGGTTTTATCGAAGTATACGCCGAACCTGCGTGTTATTGACTTGAACTGTGGCTGCCCCATTGAACTTGTATTCCGTGATGGAGCTGGCTCAGCTCTTCTCGACCATCATTCGAAATTGGAGAAGATGATTCGCGGCATGAACGCTGTCTCACAGGAGATTCCTATCACCGTCAAGATCCGCATGGGAACCAAGGACAATCAGCCTACCGCCCAGAAGCTGGTTGAGCGTATGGTTCTCGGTGGATACGAGTCTAGTGTTCTGGACCTCGGCCCCCCGGGTGCCGCAGCCATTACCCTGCATGGACGTAGTAGACAGCAGCGCTACACCCGACAGGCAGACTGGGGATACATCTCAGACTGTGCAGCCCTCATCAAGCGCCTGAACAAGAAGCAGGATGACCTCACTGACACCATCCGTGAACCGGATGCCCGCCACATGCCCAATGGTGGCAAGACTTATTTCGTCGGAAACGGTGACTGCTACTCGCATACTGACTACGATGACCACGTCAACAATGCTGGTGTGGACTCTGTGATGGTGGCTCGCGGAGCTTTGATCAAGCCATGGATCTTTGAGGAAATTCAGACCGGGCAGTATCTGGATAAGTCCGCGACTGAGCGTCTGGCCTATATCGAGAAGTTCGTCAAGTACGGTCTCCTAGCTTGGGGCTCTGATGAGCATGGTGTTGGAACGACCCGTCGTTTCCTGCTAGAATGGCTGAGCTTTACCTATCGCTATGTCCCAATTGGACTGTTGGAGTACCTCCCTCCCAACATTCAGGACAGACCTCCTGCTTGGCGCGGCCGGAATGAGTTGGAGACTCTAATGGGCAGTGGCAACTGCAAAGACTGGATGAAGATCACGTAAGTTTACTTTCACCAACTTTTCTACATATGTACTCATTAACTAACCATCCATCGATACAGTGAAATGTTCCTGGGCCCTGCACCCGACACCTTCAAGTTCGAGCCCAAGCACAAGTCAAACTCTTATGAGGCCGAAGGCTAAGAAAAGACCTGCATATAAATAAACCTCGCATATCCTAAAATTGTATATAGAATCATTATGAATGTTTTGTCAAGATATTTTGTCAAGGCGCTCAATTCTTTCACGCGCTAGGAGGTTTGGATGGACTATTTCCCCCGCATTAAAGACATTATATGTGGTCACCATCCGCCACACCCAGAAAGCCTAATCGACCGTCAAGAGTTGCTCGTAGAAACCACCAAATCCGCGTGCTCGATCATGGAGATGAATTTCCAAAATCCAATGACGTTTGAACCCATCACGGCCCGACAGGCCCATAGACTCATTGTTGCCCTTAGTGATGTAGAGTGAGATTCTATCCCGCGGAATGCGTTCATGAGGGAACGACCCAACGAGATGGCCCGCAATATCCGCGCCGAAATCCCAGCCTTCTTGCTTGGCAACCTGGCAGGAGATATTGTATAGCTCATCACCCGACATATCTGGGTTCTCGCGATACTTTGCCTTGACTGTATTCCAGATCGGCTCAAGGGCGTCCCGCAGCTTCAGCTTATTTGGATCATCTCCTAGGACGAAAGTGCGCCCAAAGTCAGCTTCCCAGGCCTCAAATACTGGCCCCAGGTCAACAACTAGGATGTCATCGGCCTGAATGACACGATCCGGAGGGTTGTCGTTGAACGGGCTCAAGGTGTTTGGTCCACTGCGGATAACTCGTTTGTGCCAGTGGGTCTTGATGCCATAGCGATCGAGTCCTAGTTGGTAGATTTCCGCATTTAAGGTCTTTTCGGTGATGCCTGGCCGGATAAAATCCCGTTCAATTTCCTTGAAGAGAGCGACTGCTTTGTCTTGTGCACTTAGAAGCTGGGATGCTCTTTCAACCTCGTCGGTGGTCAAATTGCCGTGCGTCATGACTTTGAGAGGAAATGTAAAAAGAATCAAAGTGGGTTTGGGGTTTCGGTGTCTGTGTAACTATATATATTTTCACAAAACCCCCAAGCTACATACCCCAACTTCCCCACTTGAGGGGAATTGTTGCCGTGTGACTCACCGAATACGACGTACCTAGGTACATACAACATGCCTCAACTGTTGCAATTGCACATTGCTCTTTTCTACTCGCTGCTTAGTCGAGCAACATGATATTTGAGTACTGTTAAGTGGATCATGCTAGTCTAATTGATCGTATATACTATGTAGATCTCGTGATGGCGACATATATTAGGTTTTAGTCTTATAACATAGCAATAATATTATTAAACATATCGATACAAACTGGAGCATTTCAATCAAACTAATATAAACAAAAGTTCTGTCTCAGGAACGAGAGAAGTCAATAATATATCCTATCCTAATTAGGGTTGATGACAGCATCACGTGCAGATCTTCCGAGGCCATGACGTCTTCCTCCGAACCTGAAAAACTTCCCATAAGACCACCTCGTCTCTTGATCTCCCCTTCAATTGCCCCAACTATTTGGTCCAAGGAATTTCCATTGCTTTGGTCTTTCTGTATCTGAGCTTGTTCACGGCAAAATTGCTGCTTCTCGCATTTGTTTACATCCCCCCTAAGCTATCTTTCTGAAGCTCTCAAACCCCCGCCCCTTTTGATTAGGCCAGAAATTCGATTTTAAGTACCGCTTGATTGATAACACACGACACAATGACTCTCTACTACTCCCTTGTAAGTTCTACAACTTCATTCCTAGCTGCCTCTTGTGATACAGGTCAAGCAAATCGCTGCAGCCTAGTGCCTCAAACTGTCCACCCAGCCTAAGCTGCCAACGTCATGTGCACAGTTCCTGCCCCTATTGATGGGCTAACATAATTTTCTTATACAGGTGTTTCTCCTCTTGGTGTTCGAGATGGCTGTTTTCTTGGCCCTCGTCATACCCCTCCCTCACACCATTAAGCGCAAGCTGTTTGCCTTCATCTCGGAGAGCCCGATCATCGCCAAGCTGCAATATGGATTGAAGGTATATCGCCAACTATGAAGCCTGAATTTTCCGGTTAGACTGCTAAACTCGCTTCCAGATTACATTCATCTTTATCCTCATTTTGTTCCTTGACTCCGTGAACCGTGTGTACCGTGTGCAGCAGGAACTGTCCGCCTTCACTAAGGACGGCCCCGGCATGGGGTAAGTAGCCAATCCTTAGATATTCCAGCAAATCATCTAACCACTGTCATAACAGAGCCGCCCACCTCGGTACCGACCGCATGGAGGTCCAGGCCCGCAAGTTCTACTCACAGCGCAACATGTATCTCTGCGGGTTCACTCTGTTCCTCTCCTTGATCCTCAACCGCACCTATACCATGATTCTCGAGACTCTACGTCTTGAGGACCGTGTCCGTCTTCTCGAGGGCGACAAGAAGGCCGGTGGAAAGGACTCTGCCCGTATCGCCGAGGCTGGATCAGTCGGCGAGATCGGTCGTCTTAAGGAGCTCATTGAGATCAAGGACCGAGATATTGAGACCCTCAAGAAGCAGTGCGAGGGTCTAACCCGCGAGTACCACAGCCTGGGTGACCAGATTTCCAACGAAAAGGGCGACAGGAACGAGAAGAAGGACAAGAAGGACCTGTAAAAGGTTTACATTGTCCGCTTCCGCTGGACTCAGACTATCGAAGCCAAGCTTTGATAGACTTTCACTCGCGCACCTTTGCTTTGGATTGAGGCCTTCTCCACTATCACGCGAGTCGGAACCCTTTCAGCAACAAAATCACTCGAGACATTCTGGATAAACTACTGTGCATAACTACCCTTCCTCGTTTTATGGACTCCACTATTATGCAGGGGGCAAATGAGAATTGCAGTTGGTACGAGTTCTCTCGCTGCATTATTTTCCATGTACTAGCAGATATCTTTTACGATTTTTCGGTAGTGCTGATTCTGTAGCACTTGTCATATTCAATCCAATTTCACCCTTCTATATCCAATTGTCTATAGATTTCCGTTGCTCTATTGTGAGGTGTAGTAGCCGCAAGTGTGTTAAGAGTGTATGAAAAAGCCAAGAGCCAGACCAAGAATCACGTCTAGATATCATAAGTCAATCGTAAATGTACATAGTATCCGTGAATCAGCCGATCAACAGCTGGATAGCATGATTCGAAAGTTTATATCAGGAATGTCCAAAAGCTAGGATATACGAGCTCCTCCTCGAAGATCCTTCGAACCTGCGCGAGCACAAACCGCTCGACCTTCCCAACATTCTTCAGGACCTGCTTCCCATCTTCCTTGCGACCAATCTCACTATCCACTCGGATCTCCTGCAATAAACCACCCTGTCGCTTCAGATCCTTCTCCTTCTGATCGCTCCCAGACCGAGGTAGACCATCATCACTGGGATTTTGACTACCCTGGGACTGTTCAGACCCAAGTAGGGCATCCGCGTCCTCTGCAGAAAGAAAACAGAAATGCACTCGCTTGCGAATATACGCGACAACGGCAACCCCGTCAAACGTGATGCCCGTGACATTCAACTTCAACGGCAGCCCCACGAAGCTGGGCATCGGGTAGTCGAGTAAGATCTCCGCAGTCAAGGACATGCGCACATCACCGGCGTATTTAGCATGGCACAGCACCTGGAAGTCCTCTGGGCGGCGCTCACGCATGCGCGGCGGGATGGGGAATGATTGACCCCCAGCGGGGTCATCGGGTATTTCTATTGAGGGCTGTGGCGCGTCGATGGGGTCGCTGCTGTGTGGATTTGACCCGCCGCTACCGGTGCGGCCAAGGGAAGGATGGGAGGGGAGTGTGTTAGCGGTTGAGGGTCGGGAGGCGGAGTTGTTGGTGTCTAAATCTGGCTCTGCTAGGTGATGTGCGCCCCCAGGGCGGGTTGCTTGGGACCTGGGCATGGCACCTGAATCCGACCACCCGCTCGCAAATGAAGTGCCGCCTGCTACGGCAGCAAGGGGTGTCTGGGTGCCTGATAGACCGCCAAGGGACCGCATGTGGTATCCCAACGTTGACGTACCGCCAGGGATCCCAGGTGTACTGGCACGGGGTAGGAAATGTGGGCTGAGGTGGTCGCCTAGTGGGGATCGAAGCGCAGATGGTTGGAAGCCTTCGCCGGGGTATGGATGGTGACTGAAATTATGAAGGCTATGCGCGGTGGGATTGAATCCCATGTCGTCTTCGTATGGGGATTCATGGAGCTCGGACATGAGCTCCTCGGAGGCAACGGAGGTATCGGCGTCGTCATCATCTTCCTCGTAGAAATCGGCGAACGGTTCGCAGAAGTCTTTTATCTCGAGATCTGGGGCGATGGTCCCGAAATCGAAGGAGTGGACCTGGACCGAGCGAATAAAGCGCGGTAAGGTGATCTCTTGGAATTTGTCGTGTACGAACGACCGGATTCGCTCTGCCAGGGCTTCCCCGTCCGGGCCGGAGGTGGCAGCTGCCCAGTCAACTTCAATTGACATCACATATGCAATATTATAGCTCTTGATGCTTGTATCTGGGAGAAATCGGAAGTTGGGGAGCCCGTGACGGTATGCACCACGTGATATACATGATGACATACCAGTTGCCCAGTTGGCGCACGCACCTACAACATATTCATCAGTTACGGACTAATAGCAGTGTTCAAGTGTAGGTAGAATGATTCATCATGCATTATTTGCTCGCTCTTCATTATATAAGGGTATATAATTCATTCTGCAGACCCTTGGGCTTTCCGAAGGATATGGTACATTTGTACTTCCTAAGAGACTTCGGGAGTCCTGGCGTTGTTCTTTTTCTAACGACCATACTTGGAACTATGGATGGCATGTATATGCACTGTATGTCCTACATGTCCCAAAAGGCATGCAACTTTTATCAAGGTTCTTGTCTCGTTAGATTCCTAATAAATGCACAAGATCCTCCGCATTGATGGGAAGTTTTTAAGACCATCCTGACTTTGTCGATGGGGTGGCACATTTAGGCAATGATCGTCTAAAGCCTCGCTGGTCTATAACTCGACTAAATACCATTAGGTGCATAATCACGCATAGTGGCGTTGTGACTAGGCGCCTCGGTCGTTTCTAGCCTATTGATAAGACGGGGAGGATGTGACTTGACTAATGCGACGCTTTCGCCCTACTTGGCTCGTTTCTGAATCTAATATAGCGACTCTATACAGTGCCGCACATCCGAAAGCGCCCATCCGATCGGCTAAGACCCTCTAAACATTCGACCTTCATTCGTAAGGGATACAGATATAGGAGACGATGGTCGATAGTCTGAACTGGACTATAGGTACCCACACACATCGTCGTAGAGCTCTTGCTGATAAGCTGGATAATTAGAAAACGGTTTCAGTCCTTTGGGCAATACTTTCTAGCGGGAGCGGTTATTGTACATGTCGACTTAGATAATTCCCCGGCTATCAACGGTTAGGAGAGTAAGGTGTGAGAAAAGCGTATGAGTTCCATGAAACTGGGCCATTCGATTCCGCTCTTCGGATTTTTTAGCCTCCTCTCTAATTCAAGAACGAGCGAATTGAGATATGGGGAGGTACTGGCCATACTGTTGCCAATTGAAAAGAGGTAACAGCTTTGAAGCTGGGGAAATGAAAGGCTGTAAGGAAGTGACCTGACAAGTGACCTGACACAGGTCGTTTAAGGTGTCTAATAAAGCGATATAAGTGACGTATCAAGGCTGCCGATTCTGATATGTCACACATATTGCCTATTTAAATAGACAAAATCTCTAATATTTTTCTTAATACCAGAAATATCCTCCGATCTAATCTCCTAACCTTAAAAGGTTGGAAGCGATACGTAAGGGCTACTTTTTTGGCCGTGTGTCCAGACGAATTACACTTGAATATCCATAAATTTGATTGAGACTTGCAGTGCACTTTTGCAAATCATCGGTCTGGAAGCCAACGCACGAATTTGCCAGGATTTCTCGTGTGCTAGCCAATGTATGAGCAGAGTACTTGGGTATTGACATGGAGGTCATAGCCAGCATTCACAGATATCCCAGCCACTCTTGAAGTTAATCTAATGGGCAATTTATGTACCCCTCTTGTTCCGCTGGATTCGGCCAAGTACGGCGCCAAAGTAAATGACTGGCCAAGAAAGGAGCCTCGACGTGGTCTGCGCCGCGTGGGGCGAACCCCTGTCTGGGTATTTTGGAATCGAATTCATATTCTTCCTATAACCTTTATTATATGGTTAGGAGGCATAATTGCAGTCCTTCGTAGATACCCACTCACCTGAGATATAGAATAATAAATATGTTTGACGGAAAAGCATTAAACAAACCAACAAACCCAGAGTTACGGATATTGGTTGCTTTTGACTGAAAATCAGCTGATATAAATTATATGCGAGACTAATGCAACCGAGGTGTCCGTGCATCCTATCGTCTACCTTGTACCTGGGGAATCGCAGCCGCGTCTAGGGTTGCTGGCATGCTCTACGTACTGACAAGGGTTTGCCTTGTAAACCCTCCCATGTCCCCGACTTACTAGCTCGGTGGCGTTGCCCTCTCTTACAAGATTCTCCTTTTGGGTGAAAGGCCTAATCTAATTTTGTGTCATGAGAGGATGGAACCGATTTCCACGCGCCTTTACCCTTGTCACTCTGATGTGACGGATTCCCGAGAGCATTCATTTCTACAATCTAGCGTACGATCGACACCACAGGATACATGATTTACGTATGCACAACGTGGCCAAAGCCCATTCTCGCCAATAGGAAATTTACGTACGTCCGACTTAACCGGCAGTAACGTCACATCCTCGCTAGATCAGCATGGCAGAGTTCTCATCTATGTGTACTCCTTGAAAGGCTAAAGGAATTGCGATGCTTTAAAATGCAGACATACCCTGCTGATATGGGACTTTCGCGCATTTTCAAAAATTCGAAGCACTTTAGACTGTTTGCAGACTTTGGTTCCTTCTACTTTACTACAAATAGATAAGCGTAGCGCAACATGCGCCATCCCTAGTTGTTGGCCCCCATCTTGCACGCACTTCTCCATACTACCGCCAACTCGCAGGGATTAACCATATAACCCAACAATTTTCTTGCCACCAACAACGAAGCCGGGCCATATCATTGGTTGTGCTGAGTTTGTGAAAATGCGGCATGCCGAAGATCTTCTAGGTAGATCAATCGGATTTAAACTTGGACGACGATGAATATGATATGCCACGAGGACACCGTTCCAATTACTGTCGCATTGCATTACAGATACTCTGAACCCGCGACAGCCGCCAACAGAAGCACATCCCTTAAGCCACCGCTAGGTAAGTATCAAGGAACGGTGTGTTTACGGACAAGCCTGTAAGTTAACAGATTATTGAGGGCCATGGGACCATTACCATAGCCCACGAGGTTCTACAAAGCTGGACATTTTTGCCTCTTGCTTGACATCACTGTGTGATATCAGAATCTGTATGCAATCAGCCATTGAAATCAAACTAGAGTTGCAATATAAAAATATATCGTAAAATCAGAATAACATCATATATTGCGTATTAAAAAACAAACTCTGTGGTCTCTCGACTTGTCCACGAGACGGTATTGTCTAAGGAGAGGAAGATCCGATCACGCGTACATAGACTGATCAATATAGAAAACACCCGCGAATCGTGATCAAAAGAATGCAAAAAAACAAAAAAATTAAAACAAAGCCCGAAATGCCAGATATAGAAATTTGTCCACCCAGATTCCAGAATGACCGATGTGAGATAGCAAATAAGATTGCCACCAAATAGCAAATGTGATATAGTGGTATCTGCTTCCATCTTGAAGCAGACACAGACAGGGCGGGGAAGCCAGTCACTCGATGACCATAGGACAGAGCGATAGATGGCGTCGAACCTCCGTGTCATTGGGTGCCTATAGTGTCTTGTTAGCCAAATGTGTGAGTGATAGCCGCCTCAAATATGAAAGATGTAACTCACCTCGAGAGCCACTTTAGCCACCGTGACGAGCGCATTGAGCGGTGTCTCGTTTACGACTCTGCTCCTTAACACCTGGGCACTTGGGAGTCCCTTGGTATACACAAGGGACAACACCCTGTTCCTGCTGCTTGCAGCCGCAAGCGTATTCAAAGATGTAGATGGAACACATATTGACGGTTGGAGAGGTCAAGTTGTAGATAATGTAGAAACGAGTACAGCGAATTGAAGGTCACTAAGTTTGAAGGAGGTCTCAAACACTAGATGTTGATTGATATGATGTGAACCAAGAAGGGGATCAATGCCTGGCTTTATAGCATTCGATGACTCCTTCAATAGACGTGAATTGACTGCGCAACCCAATAGAAAACAAAAAGAACACACCATTGATAGTCCTAGAAACGGTTCGGTCCTTCCATCCCCCCACAAGCGCTGTAACTCACCCATCTAGATGCGCCATATGCAGGAGTAACTTGGTGATCACTTGTTGCGCAGTCAAAGAGAAGGTGATGGAGGGCATGTAAATGGTATTCACATGCGCCATATCCAGGGCATATGCTTTTACCAACAGAAAGCAGAGTTTGTGGTAGGTGGACCGTTAGAGTGGTGTGCCCCCGGGAAGAGCCACGATTATTGATATGCGGTTCGCCAGCAGCAGGGGTTGGCCAAGGCCACCGAAGCCCTAAGGATGACTACCGATGCAAATTACAAATCCCGCAGGCTGCAGGGAGCACTTGACATCACTCTAAAAGCGCTGCAGCCAGTGTCAAGGCTCATATTCTGAGCGCCAACAGTGACCCCTCTCTAAATGGTACCCCATAGGATCAACGCTGCGGCCGAAGCGTGGATCAGGAACGTGCTGTGCCCCGTCTGACAAACCTCTATGATCCTGATACACAGCCCTAAAGACATGGCTCATACTATAGAGAAGGCACCTGCCACGGTTTTTTTCTTTTTTCCCATAGAGAATGCGCTTGCGGCTTCGCTAACGGCGCAGGAGGTGTGACTAATTGGACAAGGCTGATGAGATTGCGATGACTCTTCTTGAATTCCGTATATTGGGATATTCAATGTAATTTTGAGAAGTACCTCCAGACCCCGCATGGAACTCAAAGAGTCTTGGCTCCAGACCTTCATGATACTGTGATGTAGGGCTAGATAGGCAGACCACTGAAAGTAGCATCGGGAGCCAACCAAATTCAAAGAAGGCGGCCCTCCAGGCCAAACTCCACCCCAGATCAGTCTCGATATGGCAGGAGATGACTTCATTAACTTCATTGCAATGGGCCTCGACTTGTGGAGGTAGGCGAATAAGGCTCATTTCTATGGCGCAGTTGGTGATAGCCGCAAATTCTGCGCGATTAAAATGCGAAAGACTGCATGGTGACAAGGCGTTTTTTTTAATAATATTGAGGTTAAGCGAGTAAAGGATAAGAACAATTCCGGAGCCAAGAAAATTCAGACGTGCTGTGGTATAGTATGGTCGGCGTTGGCCGAGTGTGATATTAACCAAGAGGCGCTCTT